GACACAGCTAGTGACAGATCATGCCTCGTGAGCGGCTCCTTCTGACATGATGCCATATGACGCCAAGTCAGAAGGAGGAGTTTCCCACGCAGCCGTCAATCTGCTATAGGCCGGGTGATAAGATGTTAATATCTCTTTAACCCCTTCCCACCAGCTGCACGGGTGGGTCTTGACGCCGAGAGGCCACAGATATGTGTACCCAAAAAAAAACAGAACTATGCCAGGAACGCACACCATCACGCTCCAAGTACGCTGGCCGGCAGCTAACAGACAGCTCCTGATCTCTGCTCATGATGTGAACTTAGCCTTTCTAACGCTGTTAACTATTTCTTTTGTAAAATATAATCACTTAACTAATCTGAGCTTCAAACTTCTGTAATATAAAGTCAGGATATGTGTCTATCAGGATACATGTGGGGCTTCCATTGATGTCTTCATTCTGAAAATGGAGTTTGGCAATGGCAGCCCCCTCACTGAAAAGTAAAGTTGGTAATGACTAGCTCTGTCTGTCCTTCTGATTCACTGGTTTTAATCTCTGACCCAGGACAAGTCTGCAAGGAATGTCAGAGAAATTCAGCTCTTATCCTTAGGAAGTATATGATATTTCATCAGTTTTAAACAGGTTAAGCCCTCATGTACACGGGACATTTGATAACACTGGTAAGATTAGCTGTGTAAAGTCACGTTAAAAACGTGCGTTTTTCAGCTTTTCTTAGCATTTTTCATAAGCGTTTAGCTGCGTTTTGCTGCGTCTAGCAGCGTTTTCCCGCTTTTGCGGTGTTTAGTATTTTTTATACCAAAAAAATATTTTTTTTTTGTCAAAAAAAGTCTAAAAAAAAAACGCTGGTTTGCTGTGTTTTACCACATTTTGCTGTGTTTTCCAGTGTTAGAGCGTTTTCACAGCTGAAAAACCTCCTCTAGAGACCCACTGGTTCTGGGGTTTTTTCCATCCAAAAATGTTGATTACAGTCTATGTGTGCATGGACACATAGGATAACATGCTGGGGGGTTTACTAGCTGTAGAAAAAAAATGTCAAACGCCAAAAACAGCCGCTGTAAAAATGTCCAGTGTGCATGAGGGCTTATTTTTACCTGCTCTGTGCAAAGGCAATGCATACAGTGGCCCCAAGCCTCTTCTTCTCAGGTCCCCCACACCATCACTCCTTGCTCTTCTTCTTCTTCTCAGTGTGCAACCATAGGAAGCCATTTCTTATTGTGGCACACCTGCAGGCTCAGTCCTGAACCACGCTGTCTGCATCCATAGACACACACAGTGCGGTTTGGCCCCACACCCTGGCTCTCTTGTCACAGGATTTGACTGACAGCAGAGGGAACCAATGGCTCCAGCTGCCTCAGCAAAACCTGCGAGAGCACGGAGAGCTGCTACAGATGGGCATATCGCTGGATCAAGTGAAGGCTCAGGTAAGTATAAAGAGGGAAATGTTGCAAATGTGCGCAACACACAGTGAAGGATGCAGACTCCACTTTGTTAAGAGTATCCATTTCTCCCTTATTCTCCTTCCCTCTCCCTTCCTGAGAGGCCCAGCGACATGTGGCCAGTATGTGTGTAAGTTAGGAATGTGACAGGAGGGTCATAGGAGCTGTAAAAGCCCCCAAGAGAGTTGGAGTCTCTCTGTCCACATAACCTGCCAATTGTGACACCTCCTAAGAGATAAGGCAAGCTTTCTCAGGAGTTGAAAGAGATTCCGACCTCATAAACCTAGCTCAGCATAGGTGATAGAATCAGATAACCTCTGTTAAAACCATGTTTTCCCCTATGTCTCATATCTTGGAATATGAGAGACTTACATAAAAACCAGACATATCGACAGATGGCCAATGAGCAGGTGAACAGTTTGATGGGTCACTCTCCTTGCCTTGAACACACAGGAAAGCAGAAAAATCGATCTTGCGAACCATACAGTGTACACCTTCATAATTCATATCTAAATAATCCTTAAACTTGTCTGCATAATAATCTACCTGCGGGTGGAATGTCCCTTGTGCAAATGGACAGTTATGGGCCAAAATATGAGTTATGGACGATTTTTGCTCTAGTTGAGGCATTCATCCATAACTACACGCCCTAAATGGGTTACTGGGCCTTGACTTAAGAGACACCCCCTGCTGGGGACTATAAAATGGGCTCACAGACCTAAGAGTGGGAAGTTGAAGACGTCTCCCATTTTAACATCAATACCACCTGGAGAGACCCATGCCCTTTTGCTCTGAAATTTGGATCTGCTAACCCAAGACTTTGGCAAGTACTTTAACCCTTTCACCTCTCTCTGATACCTCTTTGCTGTGCTATGGCTCTTTGTATATTTATATATATATCTTAGTTACATCTTTGTTCTGTAAATATTTTTATTGCTCCTGTTTGACCTATTAGTAATAAATCTTTCTGAAAGTGTTGAACTGTTTCTATAGCTCTGTATTGCAACTCATGAATTCCTGCCTCTAAAGAGACGCTACTGTGGTTGTTTAAACCTCTGTATAACCAGCCTGCGGACCATTTTATACAGATGATTATCTCAATCATTATAGTGTTATAGCTGATAACGCAGAGTTTCCTCTTTCTCTGTACAAAAAGGAGGTGGTGGCAGTGTGAAGGGTTAATTGCGTAATTAACCTGACCCAGTAACAATCGCTCAGGCTACTGGTACATCGATCTGTATCCATTAGCTGGAAAATCGTTGTGCAGGGTGCAGCTGGGTGTGGCATTGTTACACACGTCACATAGCGGTTTTAGATCAGCTAGCCCTTTGGTCACGAGTTTGGGTGAGAAGGTCTGGGGTCTGACGCCACGATCGTGACAGTAAAGCCTTAAGGTAAAACAAATATTAAGGCTAAGGACTTGTAAAAAGGAGTGCAGTGGATGCTGCAATTTCAGAACATACACAGAGTCAAAAAATGAGAGTTTTGAGCTGTATTTTTTTTACATTGGCAGAGTACTAACTTGTCCATATTCAGCTAAAAAAGACATGGGTATTCTATAAAACAAGATTTTTTTTAAATGGTTCTGCTTAAAAATAATTCACTATATGAAAAAATAGTTCTAAAGCTGAACTGTAACCACCTAAAAATTACAATGTAACCTTGAATACTGTCAATGTTCATTTATTCATTTTATTTACTGGCTTCAATTTCTGTTGAAGAATTGATTCCTGCATGGTCTGATCAGTCTCTAATGCAAGTAGTTTCTAATAAAAAGGACATCACAAATATAAATATAACTTTATCAGGGCAGATACAGATCAGATTTTAGGCTAGGTTGGCACTAGCCCATTCTTTGAAAAGCAATTAATGATGGATCACTTTTCAGAGTGTAGCTAAGCAGCTGCTGTCAGGCGTTCAAGAACCTGCTGCCTCCTGAATGCCTGTTTTTTTTGTTTTGTTTTTGTGCTGAACAGCAATTTACAATGGGATTAATGTGCCAGAACCTTGAGCCAAGCACTTGGTTTGCAATTGTGGCGCAGCTCCATTGACTTTAATGAGTTTGACAGGTGGTGCCACATGTCAATCCGTCATGCCAAGTTAAACTGGTTGTGAACCTCAGACATGAGATATGAACAAAGCACATCTCTCTATTGTGTATATTTGTCTAAGTTCAAAGCACAAGTGTCATTTCTGTCTGTTCTGGAAACGTGAATCCTTTTTGACACCAAGAGAAAAATGATGATGGGGAGGGACCTCCAGCTGATTGGCAGCCTCAGCTCTGTTTCTGTGTGCTGTGTGGAGGGGGTGTGTTTCACTTTTCCTCAAATCAGCTGTCAGAGCTCTCCTCAGTGAGCTCTGTAGTGTGTAACTGCAGCTCTCCGCCCCTTTTTTCTGACAGGTTAGACAAGGTGTAGTGCCAGACAAGGTCATGAAAGACAAAACATGCCTCTCATAGTACAATACGTATCAAAAAACTTCTTTATTTGCACAAATAGGATCCTACTTACAAGCTGTAGAACAATTAAAAGCATTCACATGAACCATATCCAAGATGGCCAACAGCACAATGACATCAGAGGAAGGCTCCGCCCGATGCGTTTTGTCATCAAAAGACGCCTTCTAGGGGCTACAGAGCCACCTTCTGCCATCATGCTTAAATAGAAAATATCCAAGCCTTGATTTGGAGCACAACCAGCAAAAACTGATTGCCCTCTCCCTCTGAATTCATCGGACTGTCGGACATCTTGGATATGGTTCATGTGAATGCTTTTAATTGTTCTACAGCTTGTAAGTAGGATCCTATTTGCGCAAATAAAGACTTTTTTTGATATGTAATGCACTATGAAAGGCATGTTTTTTTCTTTCATGACCTTGTCTGGCACTACACTTTGAGTTTACATTCCAGTTGGAGCTTAGACAAGGTGTATAAATTCTGCACTCTGAACAAATACAGAGAAGAGAATACTGCAGATAAACAGGTACAACTAATGTAAGATGATTTGTTTCATCTCTGTGTATCACCTGAGGCCAGTAACCTCATTGGGGATATGGAAGGGTTTACATCCACTTAAAGACTTTGTTAGTTTTGGATTGAATGGGAAACTGTCTAAAAGGGGAACTCTCCAGTTTTAGTAAATAACCCCCTATGTCCCTTGTTTCTTTGTTTCTCTGTTAGGGAGATTGCCCCTTACTTCCTGGCCAATCACCTGAGGCTAGTAACCTCACTGGGTACATTTACGGCTTTACAACCACTTTAAATTTGCTGTAAAGCATCATGGCCACGTCATGTGAACAGCTTCCTCCGCCTGTATTGGGAACTTTAGATGGGTGGCCAGGGAGTTGGGGGGCAGTGAAACTATGCTTCAACCACCAATTTTTACCAACCCCCTCCTCAACCGTTTGTGTGAAAAATGCCTGATGGTGTTCTTTATATTTTAAAAACAGAGATTCACCAAGTTTACAACACAGACAAACACTGGTAAATTAAGTAAACAGAACAAGAAAACACCATATATGAGAAATGTTGGTCCTAATTGTTCTTTCAACATTTTACATTTAGGATGCATTGGGATAAGTACCTGCTGGTTTTGTCCGCTGTCATAATCAGCATGTCCTGCTTACAATTCCTGGACCAAGAATGGGAAGCCTGGAAAACCAAACACGGTAAAGAATCAAAAATATAAGCAGCATTTTTTTTTTAACAAATGTTGTATCTTAGCTGGAAAATCTTAAACATTTGGAATAAACTTTGTGAATAGAAAAGTGTGAGCAGAAGTCTTTATTTGGCACCGACAGCACAAAGCGTATGTACAGTCAATTTTTACTTTATTTTTGTTTTGAATAAGTAAGGAGGAGGCCAAACCCCTGCAAGGTTTTTATTACAATGGAAATGCATCAAAAACACATGAAAAACACACTTACATACGTTTTTGGTGCATTTTTGTGCATTTTCATACATGACAACAGAAACCTCCCCCTAGCAAAACTAACACATCCCAAAAATGCAAACACATCAAAAATGCATAAAAAAAGTGCATGAAAAAAACGCACACTGCACTGCAAAACACACCAGAAAATGCAAAATATAAGCAGTATTTTTTTAGTAAGTGCTGTATCTTAGCTGGAAAATTCTAAGTACGGTATTTGGAAAAAACTTTGTAAATAGAAAAGTGTGAGCAGAAGTCTTTATTAAAGCGGACCTCCACCCAAAAGGGGAAGTTCTGCTTTAAGGACTACTCACCCCGCTCCCCATTAAGAATTGTCACCTTTGGGGGGGGAAGCAAATTTGACAGGTACCTGCTCCCACTTCTGGTCCGATAGCCTAGCAGAAGGTGTCCTCCCTCCCTCCCTCCCTCCCTGTAGTCTTTTGGGACACGTGACAGGTCCCAGAAGACTACGTGGCCATTCATGCATGCGCAGTGGGTACCCGGCTGTGAAACCGTAAGCCATCACAGCCGGGTGCCCACACTGAAGATGCCGGCCTCCTGGAATACAGGACGGCTGGTGAAACGGGCTGCAGGGGACATACCCCGGGACCAAGGGACAGGTAGGTGACTGTTTTTTAAAAGTCAGAAGCTACATTTTTTGTAGCTGCTGACTTTTATTTTTTGACAGATGAGTTGAACTCCGCTTTAAGGACTGACAGCTTAAAGCATATATACAGCAATTTTTTTTGTTGTTTTGAAGTAAGGAAGGGTCCAAACCCATGCAAGGGTTTTTTGTTTTTTTTTTTGCTGCTTGCACACAATTGGAGAAATTTCCTTTCACTCCCAGAGCTGCAACAGGAAGTTAGAGGACATCTCTCAAAGTGAGGAGAGTTCCCCTTTTAGACAGTTGCCCCCTGAACAATGTTCCCATTCAGGAGATTTCCCCCATGTTTTGTTGTAGTGACACCTCTGAAATGTTGGATTATCCCTCACACATAGCAACAAAAATTTATAAAAAATCTAATCTTTCTCCACTCTAACAAAAATTAAAAAAAAAAAAAAAAACGTTTTGCCTAGAGATAAAAAACAACAAAACTGTTTGTTCTTAGTTTTGGTGAAATTATGAAACCCTTAGAATGACTAGGCAACCAATAGAACCCTGACAATTGTATTTATTTCCTTTTTTTATTGTTAAGTTGTTAACCCATTGTGTAAATTTCTCCTTAAACTGGCCATACACCAGCAGAATTTCATTTTATCTTTGTAATCTTTTTCATTTGATTCAATAATACCAATATGGACAAATGTCATATTAAATCCCTGATTTTTTTTTTTTTTTTGATTGCCAAACCTTTTAATTCTACGTTTGCTCATGCATGTTGTTGATGCATGTTATAACGCAAACAATTTTTCATGAATGAAACCCATATTTATAATTAGACTTTTGTGTGTTTGAGAACAATTTTCCATCCTTCTCTCTTGATTTTTCTGGTCATTACAATCCTAGTCCTGATTTCCTGGTCAAAAAGGATTGTCAATTTCACCCATTAATTTTTATAAAAATTGATCTAACGTTCCAAAAGCAACATTTTCTGAACTACATTCCACAAATGTATGGCCGTCCTTACTTCCTGTCCTAATGACACTAATGTTACTGTAAAGTGAGGAGTAATCTCCAGTTGAGAATAAAGAGAGCAATTAAAAGTTAATCAAGTTTTTAGACTTCTACAAACAAATAGAGGGGGATTTACTAAAATTGGTGCACTCAGAATCTGGTGCAGCCATGCATGGTAGCCAATCAGCTTCTAACTTCAGCTTGCTCAATGAAGTTTTTACAATAAAACCTAGAAGCTGATTGGTTCTCATCAGGGGCAGACTGACAACTCATGGGGCCCCCGGGCAATAGGGGATCATGGGGCCCCTGTGTCCCTGCCCAAACTCAAAAAAGCCTATGAAAAAGGTACCAGGGGCATCTCATGGGGCCCCCTACTGGCCCAGGGCCCTCAGGCAGTGCCCGAGTTTCCAAATGGTCAGTCCGCCCCTGGTTACCATGCACAGCTGCTCCAGTTTTAATAAATTTCCTGCATAGTGTTTTTATTGCCGTTGTATCCATGTAAGAGAGATCTGCCTTCATTTACTCTTCTGGTGCCAACTTTGTCTTGGGGACAGGAAGTGAGGGGATATCTTTCCAATAGGGCCAGAGAGCACCAAAAGAAAAAAAAAACACCAAGAGGGACCTTATCGTTCTCAACTCTTTCCAAATAAAAAATGATGTGACCTGAGATATATCTTAGTGCCCAAATGTAGTTTTATACAAAACTATTTAAACATAGTGGACAATAAAAAAAAAAAAACTTTTTGAAATGTCTTACTTCTGTCTTTCCTTTTTTTCCGCTTTAGCACCTGGACAAAATCCAGTTTACCAGCTGCAGATAATGGTGTCCGTTTATGAAACAGAGAATAGCTGCGATTCAACAGATCTCAGCTTTTCTCTGGTCATTCACAGTTTATGACACTCAGGAGATCATGTCAGCCCTTCTCTGGAGATCTGTGTTCTCCGTCCAGATTCTCCAGCCCAGAGCTGGAGAATGAGAGGGACCGCAAACTAAGCAGAGATAATTTATAGTAAAATGAGCCGTTTTTCAGAGTTTGTAGACCGTTCTCCAGCATTTGGAGATCGCTCTCCCTTCGTTCGTTCGGAGAACTGCTTCATAAACTGCATTCACAGGAGAACTGTGTTCTCCGAGAATGCCGGAGAACTGAGCAGCGATCTATTACTGCTGGTTCATAAACGGACACCAATGACCGCTACTCTTTGCAAGAAAGCAGCGATCTATCTACAGCGTTCCAGCACCCCCTGCTGAAGTAAAACTAAAGCTCTCTAATCAGCAATGTTGACTGCATAGCTACTATTGTGACTAAGCAAAGGACATAGGGGGTTATTTACTAAAACTGGAGAGTGCAAAATCTGATGCAGCTCTGCATAGAAACCAATCAGCTTCCAGGTTTTATTTTCAAAGCTTAATTGAACACGCTGAAGTTAGAAGCTGATTGGCTACCATGCACAGCTGCTCCAGATTCTGAGTGCTCCAGTTTCAGTAAGGCTAGGTTCACATATGTGTGGGTGTTGCCGCTGCGGATCCGCACAAAAATTGTGCAGCCCCACCACCCGCACAGAGGAATGCGGACCCGCAGGCGGGTGCCATTAATTCTAATGTTACACTGCACGCACTGGAAATCACAACAGTACTGGGAACCGAGGTTTCTGTGCAGGCTGCGTTTTCAGAAGAAGTGCAGGGACTTCTTCCCTGCATGTCCCAGGACATGGGAGTCCATTCAAATGAATTGGCTCTCCTGCTTGTGCAAAACGCGGACTGCAGGAACGCAGATATGTGAACCAGGGGTTAATCCCCCCATTGCACCACTGCATTAAACTACAATTAGGCTTTAGGCTGCCATTACCCACACCACTATGGCTAAGGGATTTCATTACTGTATAGTGAATCCTGCTGTATATATTGACCCTGCACTGGGAAAGGGCACCTTGACAGGGTTAGGGGTCTGTAAAGGCTACTTTGATATTGGCCATATATCGTCTAATAATAAAAACAAATAACCAATCATTTTAGATAATCTGGCCACGTAGAGATTGGTCTCTAAATCCTCTGGACACTGGACATTTTTACAGCGGCAGTTTTTGGACTTTGGCTTTTTTTTCTACAAATCAGTAAACTCCCCAACATGTTATCCTATGTGTCCATGCACACATAGGCTGTAAACAGCATTTTTTGGCAGGGGCGTTTTTTGGCTGGAAAAAAAAAAACAGAATTAGTGGGTTTCTAGAGGAGTTTTTCAGCTGTAAAAATGCAGCAAACCAGCGTTTTTGGACTTTTTTGAACAAAAAAAATTGGGGGGTTAAAAAAAAACACTTGAAAATGCTAAAAACCGCAAACGCGGAAATACGTAAAAAAAACGTGGGAAAACACTAATGCAAAAAAGCTATTAAACGCTGAAGAACTCGTGTTTTTAACATGACTTTACACAGCTAACACTACCAGCGTCATTAACATGTCCGGTGTGCATGGAGCCTAATAATCACTATGATGTGAGGAAAGCAATAGTAGTTTTCTAGTGCTGTACAATGTATCTAATTATATTGTTTTCAAGTGTAATCTGGAATCCTGAGCTTTCTAGTGTTATAACGTTTTTTGCAGGAAAGGAATATGTCACCTCACATGATGAAACATTTCGGAGAAAGGCCTGGGAAGCAACGTGGCATAAAGTGCAGAATCACAATCTAAAGTATGATCAGCATCTCACAAAGTACAGAATGGAGATGAACAAGTTTGCAGATATGGTGAGAGTAAAGATTTCTGCTATAACATGATAAACATAAATGCAAAGAACTACCATAGTTAATATGGTGTCGGAATAATATTCTTGGGTTGTTTACAAAATCTCAATCAGATGTAAATTAGTAAATCTACATGATACTTATGGTCAGTACACATGATGAGAATATTGGAGAAATGGTCATCCGTTTTTGTTTTTTTTTTTGCATGCTAGTCTCATATCGAAAATAAAGAAGTTACTAAGGTTACAAAAATTCTCGTACAGCAGAGTACAACTTTGGAAGCATTGTATTGTATTGTAATGTATTCTTTAGTTTCTGAGCATGCATGGTCTCGGTCTCTCAATTGTTTCCGGACAAACACTGTATCGATTAAACGAAAATTGTTCGCTCTGTTATCGTATGAGAAACATTTTCATGCTTGTCGCTTTGGATATTGTCACATGAATTGTCATGATTGGCTGTCGAAATCTGTGCACTGAGCCTGGGTTCACATACTGTATATGCGGTGCGGTATATCGCATGTGGATCGCATATTGCACAGGAACCGCACCGCATTCCTGTGCGAATCACATGTGATTTGTGTGCGGTGCAATCAGGGCCATACATTTTGTATGGCTCTAAATGCTCCGCACCCGTGCCAAAAACATGCAGGACCCTTTTTTGGGTCCGCACTAGAATTGGACCGCATAGGTATTCACACCTATGCGATCCAATTCTGTACATCACACCGCATTTTGCGACTGCTTTCGGGGTGTTGTTAACCTAACATACACACCCGCAGCGGTTCGCATGAACGGGGTGCGATTCTGATGCGGTGTGGAATTTGCACAGAAAATGCTGCAAATTCCACATCGCATTAGTGTGAACCAGGGCTAAAGGACCAGGTATTAGATGAAAATGTATAGTGGTTCTCAATGCCCTACATTGACTAGGGTTGCATTGGGCACCATCTAAAATTTTGAGTCTGTTTGGACAGACAGGGGTTGATTTGCTAAAACTTGAGAATGCAAAATCTGGTGTAGCTCAGCATGGTAGCCACTCTGCTTCTATATTCAGCATGTTCAATTAAGCTTTAACAAAAAGAAACTGGAAGCTGACTGGTTTCTGTGCAGTTCTGCACCGGATTTTGCACTCTCCAGTTTTAGTAAATCAACCTCACAGTGTTCAAAACTAGTTTACAACTGATAATGAGATCTGCCAGCCCAATACAGACTGGGTTAATTATGGCAAAGACATCTCCCCAGCCCCCTCAAAAACAGAGAGAGCTAGGATTTTTTAGTTCTGGACTAAACACCTAAAATGGTAAGCAGTGATTTTTATAAATTTTTGTATAAGTTATAATATGTGAATGGGGGCATATAACAAATAAAAGTAGATGTTATCCAAATTTGGCTCTCAAAATATAAATACATTTTAAAGCTGAATTAAACCCAAAAACAATTACAGCTTACTAATCCTTAGAAGTGGTGGCTGAATTGCTTCTTATTTTTAGGCTTTTTTCCCTTTATTTTCACCTGGGGATCCAGCCAGTAAGTCTGTTATTTTTTTACCTTTAACATACCAAGATGTCCAGCAAAAGTGACAGTTAAAGGGTTGAGACATTTACCACTGACAGGGGTGCTTACAATGAGCAGCTTTTATTCATTTATGCAAAACCTTTATTTCAAAAGGAACAAAACTGTTGTTGTAACCTCTTAAAAAGTGTTAGCTGGAGTTTGGCTTTAATTTGTTAGTCAAGTCCATCTAAATCTGCTGGTGTATCTAACACCCAGGGGCGGACTGACCATTTGGAAACTCGGGCACTGCCTGAGGGCCCGGGGTCCGTAGGGGGCCCCATGAGATGCCCCTGGTACCTTTTTCATAGGCTTTTTTGAGTTTGGGCAAGGACACAGGGGCCCCATGATCCCCTATTGCCCGGGGGCCCCATGAGTTGTCAGTCCGCCCCTGCTAACACCTCTCCCTGGCTTGACAATGCTGCTGTCCAAAGGTGTCTCTGTTGCTCCTCCATCCAGTGTGGAGACATCTTAAGTCCTGGTTCACACCAATTGCAGCTTTGAAAGCAAGATTTCAAAGCCGCCGATCAGTGCAATTTCATGTGTGTGTTGCTGCCATCTGTGCAACTTCAAGCACAAAGTCGCATATGAAATTTCAAAAAATATTGCAGGAACCTTTTTCAATTTTAAACGGTTCCATAGCTGCAAATAGGATGCAACTTGCCATGCGACTTTGATCTGTGAAGTCGCATGACAAGTCGTACCAGTGCGAACCGGGACTAGGACAGGCTGAAAATAGAGAAAACAAGGCTTAATAAAATGAAAAGCAGCCACCACAATTAAGGACTGATCAGCTGCAATATAAATCAAATGTTTGTTTTTGGGGTCTAATACTAACTTTATTGGCAGTTTTACAACATCATTGCTAGCTGCAAAACAAAACGAAACTCTGTAAAATGCTTTTTTTTATGCCGGAAAAGCTATTTATATGGTTCCTAACAACTTAAAATGTGTGCTAAGTCAGGCATGTATTATAAAAACTTTAAGACTGTGTTAAAAGTATAATGATGGTTTATTTTTAGTTAATGAACTACCGGTAATCATACTTGGGTTAGAAGATTTACTAAGAAATGTTTTATTCTCCAGACATCAGAGGAACGTAGCTCCAGGAACTGCCTTTCTTCAAAACACAAAAGAGGCATCAGGGGAGCAAACTTTCCTGTGCGGACTTACGAAAAAAACGTAAATGTCCCAAAATCAGTTGACTGGAGAAACTCAAAGTGTATTCCCCGCGTGAGAAATCAAGGCTTTTGTGGATCCTGCTGGGCATTTGCAACGGTAATCAAAGTACTTTTGAAACTTTACAGTAATGTGGTAAAAAATATATGGTAAAAGACATATATACAGTCTATGCCAGTGTTTCTCAACCTTTTTCCAGCCAAGGCACCCTTTAAAATTATGGAAGGCAGCCTTTAAATTATGGACAGTCCCAAGGCACCCTTTAGAATTATGCACAGTCCCAAGACCCCTTTAAAATTATGCACACCCTTTAGAATTATGTCCCAAGACACCCTTTAAAATTATGGACAGTCCCAAGGCACCCTTTAAAATTATGGACAGTCTTGAGGCACTCCATTCTAATACGTAAATAGTTTTATATAATGCAGCAACATCCACACATGTAGGACACCCAAATTTAGAGGGGATTTATTCTTCCAAAGCAAATACACTTCTGCAGACTGGTACTGACTAGTATTCCAATGTTTCTCTTCTTCCTCAGTTTTTCTTCAACAGTGCTAATGTGACCCCATCACTGATGGAGAGGGGCAGGGGAGGGTCAAACAAGAATGCTGGGCAGGCAGCTGTCATCCTCCTTATCAACAGATGATGTCTTTGGTTGTCAGAACGCCAACAGCCAGAAGTTCGTAATGGTGCACAATGAAACCCTGAGGTTCTGTGTAACTAAAAGGCAGGCTTGTTCCACCCACTGGCTTGTATATACGTTTTGGGCAATTTTTAGACATTTTGCGAAGGCACCGCTGAAGAAACCTCAAGGCAACCCAGGGAGCCCAGGCACCCTGGTTGAGAAAGGCTGGTCTAAATCCAGAGCATTAAGTGTAATTTCTGTCTGCTGCCTTGTTCCCCTGCTATAAGCATGAGTCACTTCTGGCAAGTTTTCCTGACACGAAGAGAAAAATGGTGACATGGGAGGGCACAGTTTGTGATGGACAGCCCCAGCTCTGTTCTTGTGTGTTGTGTAAAGAGGGGTGTGTGTGTCCCTTCAATCAGCTCTCAGAGCTAATGTAATTCCAGATCATTGCCCCCTGCTTTTAAGAGCTGAGAAATCCTGTGTAAATTCTGCACTTTGAATGGATGTCAGCAAAAGACAGCTGTAGATAAAAAGGTACAACTTATGTAGGATGATTTGGTTCATCTCTGTTTATCACCTGTGACCCGTCATTGGGGATATGGAAGGGTTTACAACCACTTTAAGACTTTTTTTTAGATTTGGATCGAATGGGAAAGGCTTAGCATGTTCAGTGAATGTTTTGTCCCCTTGCCCGTAAAGCAAGGGAACAATTTGGTATTTGTCACATAGGATCCTTAAAGCATGCTCTGTGATCAGCCTGAGGATAATGTGGAATAATGACCACTTACAACCGTCAGAAGTGAATACTTCATCTCTCTATAAAGTTATATTTGGTGTTAAATATCAGTCTCATTATTTCCTTTCATTGGGACATGTATGGACAGCCTAAATATACAACCCTATATCATTGTATTTCTTCTCTCCAATTACTGTGAAGATACAGTTCCAGAAATGTAGTTTAACCCTGTATTTATGATTGTATAATTTCAGGTGGGAGTATTTGAGGCTCGCAACTGCATTAAGACCAAAAAGCTTGTTGAACTAAGTGAGCAGCAGCTTGTGGACTGTGATGATGAGAATGATAGTTGTTGTGGAGGAGATCCAGCAACTGCTATGCAGTATGTTACACACAATGGTATTATGAAGCGTCAAGACTATGAGTATACAGATCGGGTAGGTTTTTTCTATCAGTTTATTTTGCATCATTAAAGATTTAGGTGTCCGTTTGTGAACCAGCGGTAATAGATCGCTGCTCAGTTCTCCGGCATTCTCGGAGAACACAGTTCTCCTGTGGATGCAGTTTATGAAGCAGTTCTCCGAACGAAGGGAGAACAGTCTCCAAACGCTGGAAAACGGCTCATTTTACTATAATCTCTCGAGATTATAGTAAAAGATCAGTTTACTAAACAGAGGTAAATTATCTCTGCTTAGTTTTCGGTCCCTCTGATTCTCCAGCTCTGGGCTGGAGAATCTGGAGGGAGAACACAGATCTCCAGAGAAGGGCTGACATGATCTCCTGAGTGTTATAAACTGTGAATGACCAGAGAATAGCTGAGATCCGTTGAATCGCAGCTATTCTCTGTGTCATAAAAGGACACCTAAAGCTGTCCATTCTTGTAAACTTTTCTCTTGTTCAGCCCAGCTGGCTGAATATAAAATATCCATAGTTTCCTCCATCCACGCTGCACAGCATGGATGGGCAAGTTGTATCACAACTGCTGAAAACCACAGCTGGTAGAATACCCAAACAGTGACTGCATGCTAATTGGGTGCAGTCACTGTTTGGCTGTGTCAACAAGGCTCAAAATTGTCCAAGGCTCAAATTTTGGACAATTCACGGATATTTTTCAAAATTTGAGCTATGTATGGCCAGTTTAAAGCGGAACTTTACCTAGGCTCCTCTCGCCTGCTTCTTCCTCTCTTACACATTACCAAAAAAATCCTTTAAAAAGTGAAAACTTTTTTAATTTGACATTTTTCTTAACTTTGTAAATCCTGTCAGGGTGACGTCATAGCCCTTTGCATGTGCAGACAAGCCACGGATTTCTGTCATTTCTCTAGCAGAGACTCCACAGCATTTATGCGAGTGTGTGGGGGATCTATGATCTCTGCCAAGTCTATGAGACGCATGAGTTGTCAACACATGCATCAGATTCCCAATAAAGATTGCAAGGCCGGAGAACATTTGCTTCAAGCAAGACTATGCTAAACTCCATGGCCTAAAATTTTATTTTAACACAGTGCTAGAGATTATATATATATATATATATATATATATATATATATAAAAATTATATATTTTCATTTTTTTTTGGGGGGGGGGTCAGGCAATGTGAAGTTTCTCTTTAACTTCTATATGCCAAGAATGTTTTTTAGATTTGTATATAACGGGGAATTTTTACAATTGCTGTCAGGTTTTTATTTATGTCAATGATCCTATTGAGGAGATATTCCCATACTTCGTGTTCCTCTGATGTGTGTAGAAGAAATGGGGGTTGGTTGTCACTAGTACAGGAAGGTATTGACAAAAATGAAAACATTACTAAAGTTTTAAACCTTTTTCATCTTAAAGTGGAACTTCACCCAAAAGGGGAAGTTCCGCTCTTCCTTCTCCTCCCCCCTTCTCTTTACCTTTTGGAACAAAATTTTTTTTTTGGGGGGGGAGAGCGGGTATCTGGCTTTGATAGGTTTTCTTATATTTTCTATGTTATTTCACTTAGCATGCAGGTTGCGCCTACAAGCAAAAGACGGCAATAACATTGAATGTGACCAAATACTACAACATGTTTGAAGAAGAAAACATGGCATTGTCTGTGGCAATAGACGGACCTATTGCAGTTTCAATTGATGCAAGTGATGATTTTCAGTTGTACAAAGATGGTAAGTTACAACAAGCAAAAGTAAAGTATCCACTACAGAACCTAATACATTGAGGTCGATTTACTAAAGGAGTAGTGGCTGTTCACTTACCAAAGTGAATGTTAAAGTATAACTGAAGGCAAAACTTTTTTTTTAGTGGACAGGGATTAGAACACCTGTTCAGTTTTTATTGCTGCCTATGCCCCCTGTTGGAAAGATTCGGAACATGGCTGTCTGTTCATGAGGGAACAATCATTATAGCTTTTTCCTGAGGTAAACTTGCATTGCGGATATCCTTCTACTCTACCTCTTCCCTCTTCCACTGATATAAAGATGTACACATCAGTCATCCAAACAAGCTTTTATAAGGAAGTAGGTTAGATTGTACCTACACATCTGAACTTCTTTTGCTGTAGCTTTAGGGTGGATCCATCATGGCCTCTGTACCTGACAGCCTTTCTTACACCTTGATGTACACAATATTCTTGGTCTGAGGAACATCACAAGTTTTGCATCATGCATAGACAATACATACCGTTTAGAGCAGCCATTCTCAACCAGAGTTTCCGTGGAACCCTAGTGCCCCTTTCAAAGGATGATAGGGGTTCCTTGAGCTGTGGCCGATTGACCTCCCATTTAATGGTGCCTGTATAGTCTGAGGGCCAACACCATGTGGTAGAGTCATCTGTATAACACCAATGATATTTAAGCCATCTATCTGGTCACCAGTGTAAGGATAATTTCTCCCCCTTCCCGCTAATTGTTTTAGCAGGGGTTCCTCAAGACCTAAAAATTATTTTAAGGGATTCTTTGGGGCAAAAAAGGCTGAGAAAGGCTGACGTAGAGACTGACTATGACTGCGGTTTGGGAACCAAACCATTCATCAATACACAGCTGATCTTGGGACTAAAAGCCCTACAGAGATGTCCACTACACAAATTTGGTATAAGATGGAGTCCCATACCTATGTGGTTTTGGAATTCCAGATCAGTGTGCTCTGATGGTGCTAACTTGTCTCATAAAAATGTATAACTGGCACATACATCATGATGTAAAATCTCTCTATGATTGGAAGCCACAGTTACCAATAGAATAACAAAAATATTATTTGCTATCTCAGGTTGCCTATCCATGAACATGAAGCAGGCAGCTGAGCTGAAGCAAGTGAATTTCTAACTTTTTCAATTTATATCAGGTGTTTTCACTGGAGAATGTAGCACAGAGCTCAATCATGCAGTAATTGTAGTGGGATACGGCACAGAATACGATGAAACGGAGGATGAAAATGTAGATTACTGGATAGTAAGAAATAGGTATGTATCACAATGGTCAAAATTTTCATTTCATATTGCCTAAAACTTGGGACGTGTACATGCATCAAAGGAGTGACTGATTTTATCTATTATAGGACAGTCTGTCTATAACTAAAAAGCATCTGGTATCCATTTCCCTTTAAACATGGGTTTTTGGTAGAATGGAGGGATCTCATAAGTTAGGACAGTAAAACCTAGATGCAATGCTGTTAACAAACTAAATCTTTACAATTCTTTGTTCCAATTTTGAAGTAATAAATTCTAGTTTATAGGTACCTAAGCTTCATTATTTTGTAGCTTGAGAACTTCTTTTGGCACTTAAAAGCATACCGAGTAAATCATATAAAAACTGCAGCAACCAGAATCTGAAGTAGTTGTGCATGGCAATTAATCAGCTTCTAGTTTTCAAAGCTTAACTGAACAAGTGGAAAATAGAAGTTGATTGGTTGCTATGTACAGCTGCTCTAGATTTTTGTCTGCTTCAGTTTTGATAAATTCCCCCCATTGTGTACAAGTGTACACCAAAGAGATTGGTGTTGTGTAATTGAAAATCAGTGGTTATCAAAAATTTGAAGAAACAGCTTACTCTTAATGCTTAAAAAGTGTGTCCAGCAGATAGACAATGGAGCAGAAGGATCATTTCTGCATTAAAGGGAACAGCCTCTATGATGGACAGTTATACACACCTTTCTGAAAGAGTTAACTTCTAAATATCCCAAAGAGTAATGCCAATGAGAAATAATTTAGAACACAAATTCTAATATGTTAAATTTAACATAAATTTATATTTTTATGGGTGGTTTCCAGCGAGATAAAAATCCCTAAAGCTTAAATAAATTTAGGCCCAGATCTCCTCACCCTTTAGGTAGTTTACTCTGCCTGCAGTATGAATGAATAAGTGCCACGCAGTACAAATGCTCCTAGTGATAAAACATACAATCATATACCATGCACTATTTTAAAGACATCACATAAAATCCAACAAAACATTTTTTTTTTTATTAACATGCATATATCATATGCGTTTATATCAAACAATATATCTTGAAAAATCAACACCATATACTGTGATAAAGCAAAAAAGAGTCCTCATATATTCTCATAGATATTCTTCTTGTCCAGTAATCCAACTGTGTCATCTATCCCTTTTTACATTCCGCGTTAATAATTCTCCTTTTATATAATTACCACATGCAGATAACCATTCACCAGCAATAATGTGCTTTCACCATCAGAAGTAGGTCTAATGTGCTTGCCCCTTGTAGTGGGGTCACCTATACAGATGTGATGGCTTCCTCCAATCCACTGGTGCTTCTCAATCCATCTTCATCCTTTGCAATCCTTGGGTGAATATTTGTGATACACTCAGAATACTGTTTTGGTGCACAGATCAGGTGTACACAGTATACAAGCTTGTATTGTTGAAACCAACCAACAAAATGGCTGACTGTGCACTTCCAGTTTGTGTGGCGTGACATCACCGGCTCCTCCCTATGCATTATGTCATTTGATCACCTGACTTAATTATTTTATAGTTTTCTTTTATGGTGATTGCGCTGAGGTTTTTCTCTTACTCTTCCTGCAGTATTCTCAGAGTATCCAATACATGCAAAACAAAGTAAACTCAAACCCATGACTACATCAAGTATGCAGAGCTGGAAACCCAGCTGCATCAAATGGTGACCATAAAGTCTTATATAGAGAGACAAATGTAGTATGCTTCTGAAGTTTCTGAGCCCCTTTACTGGAGCTTCTGAACCTCCTTCACACCTGCAGTTGATCTCCTTCTAAGCTAAATCAAGCTGCTTTTGCAATTCCATAGAATTGTAGGGATAAAAATGCAAATATGAATTGAGGTATACGTTGCAGTTGGGGAGAGCTTAGTGTTATAATGCTAGAAAAATTTCAGGAACACTTTCATTTTTAATTGACTTTGACACCTACTGCTCATGGAGCCAAAAATTAAAACATTGTCATACTGAAGGTAGAGTTATGTGACTGTATGAGATGATTGAGCAGATGATTATATGTTGGTGTGAAAGACTATCTACTTCTATACCCATCTTCATTTAGTTGGTTGTCAGTTCAGTTAATAAAATGGCAACCGTTTTACAATTATTTACACTTTATTATCTTTATATAGCTGGGGAGATGACTGGGGAGATAATGGTTATATCAAGATGAAGCGTAACGTCAACATGTGTGGTATCGCCCAAGAGGGAGCCGCTGTGGACTTGATCAAGTAGTTGCTCAGACTCTACTGAAGACTTGACAGAAGTGTGTTTTCCAGGGTTTAAGTGTATACTGTATAATTATCTTTTTAGCAATGGCCACAGCACCCATAATGTATTTGTTATTCTGTATTGCTTGAAATAATAAATATGCTCAAAATGGTTTAGTAGTATTCTGAATGGTTTGCTAACTTGTTTTAAAATAAAGAAAATGGAAGCAACTGTCCACTTTTTGAATACTGCTCATTAATTTGTATTGCTAGCTGTCTGTTAGCCAGCTGCATATATAACAATCTTTGTTGATAGAGGTTTAGTACAATGTTACCAGCTCTGACATGCACAAGCCCAACTCCAGGCAATTTTTTTTTTCATGCATTGAGGTTGTGCCCACACTGCATGGGTTAACTGCTTCTTTTTTTTAGGGGTGAACATAGAACCTATACTCAATCCTTTGATCCTCTGGAAAATGGCGCTCCCCCACGCCAGTGGTGGACTGTTCCAGATGTCTTCACATCCAGAGACAGTTTATGGGCGTGATGATGTTATGAACGGTCCACCACACAACACCACTAGACCATGAGGGGGGACAGAAACCGCAGGGATCAGTCTTGTGCTGGGAGGATCAGAGGATTAGGTGAGTATATCTCAGTTCATAAAACCCCTGAACAAAAACGAGCAGTTAATCTATGCAGTGCTGGCACAGCCCCACTGCATGGGAAAAAGAACATTTGTCCAGAGTTCAGCTTTAAAGCCCAAATGAAATTTCTATGTGAATCAGCTTAAATACATCCCAGGTATATATATATAAAAAAAAGATGTGCAACAAAGTATTTGCATTCTTTCTAAAGTTGCTACAACTTGAGTAGAAAAGCCAGTACCCTGCTAGCATATTGGAGCCTTTGCTCTTTGTGGGAAAGTAAGGGGTCTCTTTGCAGAGGTCTGATCTGTTGTTTGTAATGCTGTAGCTCTGACTTAGCAGGGGTGTCTGTAAACTAATCACTTCTTTCACACAAGGGTCTCAATCTGCAGCATGCTGGAAGGACACAGGCTTTCCACCTTAAGAAAACAAACTTATCATGCATCTCACAGGTTTCGTTTTGATACATCTGGATAGTGTTTAGCTAATCTAAACTGAAAGTTCAATTGGGCTTTTAAGTATTAAAGTGAGTTGTTTTTTGCACTTGTAATTAAACAATGTTGTTTCTAAAAGACCAAATGGTGCAAATTTATTTCGTGCAACCCGTGGAAATTTGCTTGATTTCCCCATCAACACAGACAGTTTTCACAGGATAATCCCTCCATTTGTCTTCTCCTGGCAGAGGAAACCGTCCCTGCCTGGAGAAAACAGTGATTATTGCTAGTGGCTATAATCACATGTAAAATTCGGCAAGCTGGTTGTACCCAAGTTGATCAATCGGTCAACATGGGTATATTCAGCCTGTCCATACATGGTTTGAATTGTCTATGGTCGGCTTAAGCTGTCCCCTTATTACAACTAAAGATTCTGATCATGCTGGTGCACTTACGTACTAGAGTAGAGTACTTTATAGAAATTTACAACAAATGTTAGCACACTGCAGCTAAATCCATAAACTTTTCAAATATTTAAAGTAGAACTAAAGTCCCTCAGTAAATTTGTGCAATGTTTCCATTGCCAAAACTGTCATAGGATTTTTGGACTTTCTATATACACTGCATGGTACATTTATTGTGAAGTGTGCATCTTGGCTCATTCTGAGCATGCCAAAAAGTCAGGTGTCGGGGACAATATAACATCTGTGCACCTGCATCACTTGTGGTTGCTCAATGACTGAAGAGGAGCAATGCATATGTTATCATCTGGGAACTTCAAAAGAATGTGGAATCTGGAATTACTTCTCTCTTAGATAACAATCTGATCCATTATTAACCACTTGCCCTCTTGAGGATTTACCCCCCTTAATGACCAGGCCTCTTTTTGCTACTCGGCGCTGCACTAATTCAACTGATAATTGCGCGGTCATGCAATGCTGTACCCAAACAAAATTTACGTCCTTTTTTTCACACAAATCGAGCCTTCTTTCGGTGGTATTTGATCACCTGTGCGCTTTTTATTTTTCATGCTATAAACAAAAAAAGACCAAAAATTTTGAAGAAAAAACGATATTTTATACTTTCAGCTATAAAAAATACATAGTAAACTCATAGTTAGTTATACATTTAAGCCAAAATGTATTCTGCTCCATGTTTTTGGTAAAAAAATCCCAATAAGTGTATATTGATTGCTTTGTGTGAAAGTTATAACGTCTACAAACTATTGTATAGATACTGCAATTTATGCCATTTTTTTTGCTATACAGCGCTGTGCTAGTTTAACAAACAATTGCGCGGGTCATGCAATACGGTACATAAATGAAATTTACATTCTTTTTTTTCCCACAAATTGAGCTTTCTTTCGATGGTATTTGATCACCTGTGCGTTTTTTATTTTTTGCGCTATAAAAAAAAAAGTCTGACAATTTTGAGGAAAAAAAACTATATTTTGGACTTTTTGCTATAAAAACATGTCCAGTAAAAAAAAATGTAAAAATCAAATTTAGTCATAAATTTCTGCCAAAATGCATTCTGCGACATGTCTTTGCTAAAAAAAAAAACCCAATACGTGTAAATTAATTGGTTTACGTGAAAGTTATAGCGTTTACAAATGGGTAAGATACTGGGATTTTAAGGGTTTTTTTTATACTAATAATGGCGGCGATCAGCGACTTATGGCGGCGATCAGCAACTTATGGCGGGACTGCGGCGGACATTTTGACACTGGGGGGGAACTGAC